CTGACTAAGCGAAGGGAGTCAGGGAGCCGGGTGACTATGTAGTAGAGGGTGATGTACATGGGGGGAGGGTTCTTGGCACATAACTCAGCAGGAAGCGCAGCGCGGTAGCGAGTGTCACTAGTGCGAAGGTGCGTAATGAGGTTAGTGACTTTGGGAAAGGCAGCAAGGTCAGGGAACAGGTACGGCAGCATGAGGCGGCTAAAAGCAGTAGTGGCAGGGGAAGAGTAGCGTGCAACTACAGTGTCGTACAAGGTCTTAGCACTCTTGTACTGACTAAATTGCGCACGCTCAGCGGTCGGAAAGTGGCGACGCACAGCAAGACCGGCAGTAGCATCGCGTGTGGCCCACTGTGAGCGAACAGTGCTGTCAGCAGTAGTAGGCGGGGCAAGAGAGGCACCAGAGGTGAGATCAAATAGGGAGAGTCCGTCTGCCCTATCACACTGTAGGAAGAGCTGGAGGTCATCGACCCAGACCTCAAAGTCAACAGCACGACCCTCAGCATCAAAGGTAAGGACACTGGGGGTAGCCATGACAGCAGTGGTCTAACAGGGAGTGCTCTCACCAGTCCGGGTGGGAAGGGCCGGTGCACGCCGGTAGGAACAGTAGCGGCTCGACGGCGGCTCGGCGGCTCGGCAGCTGGGCGGCTCGGCTGCTGGGCGGCTCGGCTGCTGGGCGGCTCGGCTGTTGGGCGGCTCGGCTGCTGAGCGGCTCGGGTGCTGGGCGGCTCGGCTGTTGGGCGGCTCGGCTGCTGGGTGGCTCGGCTGCTGGGTGGCTCGGCTGCTGGGCTGCTTGGCTGCTTGGCGACTCGGCTGCTGGGCGGCGCGGCTGCTTGGCGGCTCGGCGGCTGGGCGGCTCGACGGCTCGGTGGTTCGGCCGCTTGGCAGCTGAAGGGGGGCCGTGAAGGTCGGCGACGGGGCCGCTAGGGGCGGCGACGGGGCCGATAGGGGCGGCGACGGGGCCGCTAGGAGCGGCGACGGGGCCGATAGGGGCCGCGACGGGGCCGCTAGGGGAGGCGACGGGGCCGCAAAGGGGGCCGAGAGGGGCCTCGAAGGGCTGCGACGGGGCCGCTAGGGGCGGCGACGGGGTCGCGAAGGGGCCGCTAGGGGCCTCAAAGGGCGGCGACGGGGCCGGTAGGAGTGGCTACGGGGCCGCTAGAGGCGGCGACGGGGCCGATAGGGGCGGCGATGGGGCTGATAGGGGCGGCGACGGGGCTGCTAGGGGCGGCGACAGGGCCGCAAAGGGGCCGAGAGGGGCCTCGAAGGGCGGCGACGGGGCCGCTAGGGGCGGCGACGGGGCCGCGAAGGGGCCGCGAAGGGGCCGCCAAGGGCCTAGAGGGGGCGGCGACGGGGCCGCAAAGGACGGCGACGGGGCCGTAAGAGGTGGCGACGGGGCCGCTAAGGGTGGCGCGAGGGGGCCGTGAGAGGCGACGTGAGGGTGGCCAACGGGGCGCGCCTCTAGCAGGGGCGACTCGCGCTCCGGTCAGGAAAAAAAAAAATTCTGTGGTGGGCCCTGAGAAGCGTTCCCACTAGGGAACCTGCTCTATACCATGTGAAGAAATTAGGAAGGAATGAATGAACTAGCAAGCAGGTGGGTACAAGTAGGAAAACCTAAAAGTGTTGTATCCCATATTGTCTACCCCACTACAGCCTACACAGACTATAGCATATGAGTTCGACATTCGCTCGCTCGGCGATGCCGTTCATCGCAGGGGAGTATGGCATGGTGAGGGAGTGCCAAATACCATTCTTCTTCAGCCACATCCCAAACTCCTTGCTCAGGAACTCTCCCCCTCGATCGGTGCGGATGGACTTCACTAGACGGTCTTGTTGCCGCTCCACCATCGGGAACCAATCCGTGTTCAATGTTTCAGCCACGTCGCTCTTCTTGGCCAGCACGTACACCCAAGTCATGCGGGTGTAGACATCGACAATGGTGAGGAAATACTAAGCTCCAGCAGCTCCAAGCTTCGGGGGGCCCACCACGTCCATCACCACCTCATCAAGTGATGCCTTTGCCGTTGCCTCCGAACTAGGGAACGGAAACCAGGTGAACCTGGCTTGCATGCACGTCAGGCAGCCAAGTACCTCTTCGGGCTCCCCCTTCACACGTATGCCAGCAACCATCTCATTCTTCACTAGCTACTGCAAGATAGGCAGGGCCACATGCCCCATTCGCCGATGCAAGGTGAGCCAATCACACTCCTCCGTAGCCGAAGTTGGATTGGAGAATGCCGCGCTCGCAATAGCGCCCCACATGCTCTCTCCGTAGTCCTCCTCCGCTGCTGCCTTGGGGTTGTTCTCACCTTCGTGCTGCTCCTTGGCTGCTGCACCACTCTCCTTAGCTTCACCGAGCTTGATGGTCCCTCCAAGATTGCATTTCTTGGACTCCTTCTCCTTAGCGCGACCGTCCGCGCAATCGCCGCTACCAACCGCTTCACCCTTGGTGCTGACGCTTGCTGCCACTTGCCTCTCCTTAGGCATGGGGACCACAGGGATCTGCCACATCTCGTTGTAGACGTCCCTATCCTCGTGAAGGTCCCAAAGAATCCGCCGCCAAGCCTTGCGGTGTAGGTCTTGGCTCCCTTCGAGTTCGTGTCCATGCCGGCCTTTGCCAATCGCCGCACGGAAATCAGGTTCACAGCAAGGCTGGGCACCCAAAGCACGTTCTTGAGGCCCACCATCTTCCCATCAGCACCCTTGAACATGGCCTTGCCCATGCCTTTCACCTCTGCTCGCTGCCCCAAGGCCGATGTGACATGCTTCACCGGTGACGGCTCGAGTTCGATGAGCAAGTCGGGGCGAGGTGTCGTGCTATAGGTAGCACCGCTGTCAATCACCCAATAGTCCACGGGGTGTAGCGTCACCTTCCCCACAGGTGCTGGCTCCTCAAGGTTTTCATCCTTCTCTGGACCAGCAGGTACTTGCGTTGAGACGAAGTAGAATAGACCCGCGTACCGATCGTCGCTCGGGTCCTTGTCATTATCTCCACTCTTCATGTTCGCGGCTCCACCGGCGCGACCGCCACGGCCTCCACGGCCTCTTCCTCTCCCTCCACCTGCTCCTCTACCCTCTTGGCCTTGAGCAGGGGTCCAACCATCAGGGAGTTTGAAGCAATCGTGCCACATATGTCCGCTCTTGCCGCAATAGTGACATTCAGCGTCAAATCGGCCGCGACCGCGACTGTAACTCTTGTTGCGCTGCCGTAACCGCCACTCCCGCGGCCTCCGCCAAAGTTGCTGCCTCCAAACCTTCCTCCCCCTCGTCCTCTGCCTCTTCTTCGGCAATATCCACGGCCGACGCTCGCTGCCCCAGCGCCATGGGCACTCGCCAACTCACAGCGGCGGAAGTCCTCTTGTAGGATTGCTCGCTTCACGTCTTCAAGCGAGAGGCGGGGCAAGTCGCGATTCAAATTGATGATGAGCAAGGACCACGACTCGGGGAGTAGGGCCAGCAACTTGGTCTTCTTCTGGAGCTCACTTTAGTTCAAATCAGCTCCCTCAAGCCGCGTCAACAAGTCGAAGAATTTCTGCACCCCGTCTTCCACGGGTTCATCTTCCTCAATTCGTAGCGTCGCAATTTGTCGTTCCAACACCACAGCTACCGCCGCTGTTGCAGGAGCATGTACACCCTTGAGAGCAGCCCATGCCTTTGGTCCCTTCTCTGGATCACGATGTAAAGGCTTGATGTGATGGATCTGGTTGCTCCCCAACGCTTGCCCAAGTAGGAGGTAGCCTTGTGCGCTCTTCCGCACCCACGGGCTCTTCTCCGGGTCGTTCTCGGGACGCTTCTCCGTTCCTTCCATCACTCCAGCAGATCATAGTGGTCAAACACGTTCTCCATTCTGAAGGACCATTCAGCAAAGTTGTCGCCGTTGAACTTGTCAAGCCCGAACACTCTTGGTTCGTCCCTAGAAGGTCCAAGAGTCGGTTGCACGAGCGCCACGGCTGAATCACGGGCTTGGCCTTGTGCTTGGGCATCTCCATTGCCACCAGCACCTCTGCCACCCCTTTCTTCAGGTCCAGCCATAGTCGTAGCTGCTCCAAGGGGCTCTGATACCACTTATTATAAATACAGTAGGCTTCAATGTGCCTAAAACGAAAGATAGAGTGCATAGTCGGATTTCTGCACATCGGCTTTAAACGCTCATAGCGATCTGCTCACAACTCCAAATGACTTCTTTCAACTTGGATCTGGAGCGCCTTAACGTTGCCTACACTAGGCAATTTTGATCGCACGATTTCATCAAGAATTGACGACAAAGCGTCAGTTTGAACGAACGGCACTATGGCAGCAACATAGTCTTAGAACACAACTTAGGAAGAGTTAGCAAGGGTTACGAGATGGGAATGACTCCCAGCTCCTACAAACCCCAAGAGCCGAGGTACAGTGATGTGGAACAGTGTCACAATGTCCCCAACCACGAAGGGTCTCGAAACTACCCTTCACTAGGGCCTACACCAAGTGAAATGTTACACTACACAAAGTAATGTAACTATCTTCAATATCTTGAGGTGTACCCTTTTGGCGAGCTTCGAAATCACTTGAAGTTTGAAACCAAGGCTCGGGTTCTTCATCCCAAACTCATCCTTGAGTTTTTGATGGGTCTGCTGCACACACCTGCGACACGCCGAACGTTCGACAAGCGACAAAATAGAAACCGCGCGGGACACACAAAATGACCGCGTTACACGCGACTAGCGATAATTCGCTATAGACTTGACACACACACACTCGACACCATGACCCACTATACACACACTATTATGAGCATGAAATATGTGTTTTTTTCATGCACTCATTCCATTCTATGCACACACGCATGCACGCACACGGACAAGCCGAGTGCAAACCGTAGGGTTGCACCAACACTATCAACCCCCTCTGGTTCTCTCCTGAAGTGTGCCTTCTCTCCCAATCCCCTCTGATTTCCTCCTCCCGTGCGCCTTCTCACTCAATCCCCTCTGTTCCTCTCCTCCCGTGTGCCTTCACTCTCATTCCCCTATGTTTCTCTCTGCCCGTGCGCCTTTTCTCTCCCGTACGCTCGTCCCCTCTGTGCTCCTCTCCTCCCTTGCGCTTTTTCTCTTTTCCCTCGCTGCTCATCTCTTCACGTGCGCCTACAGTCACACTCCTTTTTGCTCCTCTTGGCCGGCGCGCCTTCTTGCTCTTTCCCCCATGTTTCTCTCCTCTCTTGTGCGCAAACACTTGCATCCCCCTCTACTCCTCTTCTCACGTGCGCGTTCTCTCTCGTTCTCCTCTTGTTCACTCCTCACGTGCGCGATCTCTCTCACTCCCCTCTGGTTCACTCCTCCCGCGCGCCTTCGCTCTCTAGTACGCTCGTCCTCTCTGTGCTCCGCCTGCTCTTGGCAGCTGTTGTCCCTTTTATTCTGAGTTTTCACACTTCTCCACTCCTCCTATGCACGTCTCCATGCCTTGCAGCCTGGTGCTCTGTTCTTGTGCTCATCTTCACTGTTTCACCCGTCTCCTCTCCTCCCATGCTCTATGTCTTACGGCTTGCTTTGCAGATGTCGTTCCTCTGCCCAAGATGCCGCCTTTGTTCCTTCGAGACACGCTCAGGGCTGGGTCGTCACATGCAGAGCATGCTTGCTCTGCCAACCTCATTAGTAGCAGCGACCAGCTCCAGGCTCCGAAGCGTGCAAGAGCGAGCTACATACCTCCTAACCCCATTCCCCGTGCAGTACTCCGGCTGGAGCCTGTTCAGCCCTTTGTAGGGTCGAGTGCGGCTGCCGATGTGTGTAATGATGCACCTGACATGCCATGTGATCATGATACACACTTTACTAGTGATACTAGCTCGTCCACTGACTCAGTAGATAGTGTGCTGCCTTTTGAACAAGAGGACGATGCGACTAGTAATGCAGGGGCCTCATGTGCTATTGAAGAGGATGGTGCAGCAGCTCAAGTAGGTACCTCATCGGCGGCGGAGGAAGAGCCACCCAGGTTCAACCTGAAAGATGCTCTTGCTCATTGGATACTCACGTGCCGACTCTCAATCAGCCAGGTCAATGCCTTGCTGGAAATCTTGCGCAAGACCATTCTTGAAATTCAAGATTGGAAGACCTACCGCTATGTTCAAGCGTACGCAGAGTCCAAGGCGACAGATGGCCACCGAGGGTGGCAACGGAAGACCATCCGGTCAAGAAATAAAGCATGGCTGGAATATTGGTTTTGTGATCCGTTGGTTGCCTTGCACGACATGTTGAAGCACCCTAAGCTATCCGCAAAGATGTTGTTTCATGCCGATCCGCAATACGTTGGAAACGTGAGGGTGTTTAGCACACCAGAAACTGGGCTTTGGTGGGAGAGGTTGCAAACTTTGGTAAGGGCGGAGGATCCGGACGGAGTTGTGGCTGCTTTGATCCTTGCGAGCGATGAAACGCATATGGATCATAGAGGGAAGGCGAAAGGGCATCCCGTGTATCTCACACTGGGAAACATTGATAAGGACGACAGGTGGCAACCCTATGGCCAAGTGCTTCTGGCGCTTCTCCCAGAGTTTCCTGTCGAGTACAACGTGGTGGACAAGATGCAAGTACACAACTACATCATGAGAGAGGTGATGCAGTCTCTCAAGACGGCTTCCTACACCGGCATTGCAATGAAGAACGCAGCTGGGGAGAGCATCAACGTGTGGCCCCATTTGTATGCCTATGTGTTGGACTACCCAGAGTCGTGCAAGATCACATGCACGAAGTCGTTGGGATACATGTTCCCTTGTTCGATATGCAAGGTCGATAAGAAACATTTGGCAGTGCTGCAGGACCGTATCAACGCTCGAACACCGTGCGAGCAAGATACCATTGTGCGGGACATTTTGGAGGGCCGGGTCGCACACGATGCAGACGCGACATTGTCTACACACCCAGTGCAGGTATAGATCGTTTTAGTTGTTGCTTATGGGGGCTGCTCCACACCTATATGCCCTAATCTTACAAAGACCACCGTGCTGGTTTTGACTTGTGCAGAGCTTCCTTAGCGGTTGGAGGTGGGAGTCTGACAGGATTCTGAACCCGTACCTGGCGGTGCTGCCCGATGTGATGCACCAAGCGGATTTGGGCATTTTTGAGCACATTGTAGACTTCATTAGAGTGCATGTGAAGCTGCTGGCAGATAGGAAGAAACTAGACAGAATTCTTAGGTACTACAAGAAGAACATAAGGGGGGGGAACATGCGGTTGCCCACAGGCCAGTACTTCGAAAAGGGGGCAAACTACCAGGCCTACGAGCACCGTTCTGTCATGCAGATACTTCCTTTCATTGTGACGGGATTTATCACCCAGGAGCAGATGGACGCACTCGTCTCGTACATCGAGTGGTATCTCGAGTGCGCGCGGACATCGGAGCACACTGAGACCACTCTCATTGAGTTCAAGACGAAGGCACACAGGTGAGTTGTGTAGTGCACTTTGCTATCAACATTTGCTGATATATCCAACACTAGTGGCTACACATCTTACCTTGACGCAGGATGTTACACAACCTCAAGACCGCCTTCCCACACACTTCGGACTGGAACTTCATAAAAATGCACCTCATAAGTCACTACATTGACTCTATTCGTAGGTCGGGGTTGCTCGAGCACTATTCGGCGCAGCTGTACGAGCACCTCCACATAGAGTACATAAAAAACCCTTACAGGGCGTCCAATAAAAGGTCCGTCAATAGCCAGATCGTGGGCAGCGAGGAAGCGCGTCTTCGTCTCCAATTCATCGCTCCACAGCTCGAGAAGAAGAAGTATGACACTACCATGGTGAAGGTATGTTATAGTTGAATCTTTAGTTTACTATCACGTGTAGATCCCTCATTGCATATGCATTACAGAGTGACCAAGCATTGTATTGTGTGCAGGCCCAACGGACAGGCGAGCGAGTTATGTCCAAGAGGAGTTGGACATTACATGTGCCCGACACGGATAACGCAACCCCGTACCCTCAGGTACCTGACGCGAAGCGTGATGGCCCGTTGCAGGCCATAATTGGCGAGGACTTGAAGCACTTGCGTTCGGCCTTGGATAGGGCACCTGGCTGCGATGGCAACGGGGAAGAAATAAAAGAAGTACATGTACGTACACCATCCAATACTGTCGTAGCAAACCACGTTTAGCATTAACAATCTGACACTTTCCGGTTGTTGTACCATTGCAGGTCCATTGGGAACTCGCCATGCCAGCCGCGGTTGATGCACAGTATAGCCGCCTGCCTCATCGCATCCGCGCCCTGCCCATGCATCACGGTCGGCAATGGTATTCTGATGTGGCGGTAAAGGGTGAGGGCTCTCACGGGGACGAGGAGTGGTTTGCGAAGACACTGCTGTTGTTTCATGCAAACGTCGGGGGCACAACAAAGAACTATGCGTTTATCAAGTACTACAGGGAGCAGGCCAGGGTTGATGCAGCTACCAAGTGCAAGGTCTTGCACTTGGAGTCCTCTCAGCAGTGGTATCGAGTGATTAGTATTAATAGTATCAAGCGAGCGGTTCAGTTGGTGCGGCCAGACAAAAACGCAGACAAGTGGCTGGTTAATAGGTTTGCATGGTGACTCTCCAATCCTTGGTCTTGTTGACAAATGCCTTGTCAACAACATTTGCCATGAAGGGTAAGCCCTTCATGGGTTTGTTTGTAAATATTTATTAGCACAACTTTCCCCAGCGTTTACATCGCAACACTCCGTTATTGAGTCATTGTCGTTGCAAGGACAGTGGCCTCACGCGACCGACGAATGCAACGGGTGTACAGACATCGAACCTCACTGTGTCACGCACCTGCGCTGCTGGCGGTGTCGCGCTGGATCGTTCCAGTGCAGGTGTGGTTTTACGGAAGTCATGGGTTGGGTATCGTGGTGATACAGCAAGGCGCTGTTTCACCTGATGCAATATCACGTGATGCGCTAGCAGCACGTCAAGCAACTTTGCGAGGCATCTGGATGTTTCCAAACATTTTCAACCATTCCTTTGTACAGTGCGTGTCGCACACGTGGGACCTCATCGCATCTTCTGCACAGCTGTGCTTGGCAAGGACTCCAGAACCCATGATGTTACAGACGGTTTGACTGTAGGGCACTTGAAGGAAAAAAAACCCGATCGGCTTGACCGCGTCATCGCGCGGTTCACGTCATGTGCGGGCCTTTGTCATAGGGGTTAGTTTTTTGCATTACTTATTTACTTGCTACTCCGCTCACATTTTGGCAGAAGCTGCTTAGGGAAACCATTCAGTTTCGAACCCATTTTATTATTAAGGGTGCAAGTTCTACATTCCGAAAGACTACTTGTTTTTTTTATATTCAATGTCTCTTGCGATGTGAGTCCGAATCAGGAAACGCGACAGTCGTGTTTCCAACTCTTTAAGTTTTGTCGTTTCCGCCAACATCGAGTTTTTGTTAAGTATATTACTTTGGGAAGGTGGGATATGAAGGCTTTTCTCGTACGGAACCATTCACAGTAGGCAAAGCTGTGAAGAATGAGGAATGAATGAACTAGCAAGCAGGTGGGTACAAGTAGGAAAACCTAGAAATGTTGTACTCCATATAGTCTACCCCACTACAGCCTACACAGACTTTGACAAAAGCATGGAAGCCCCTGCCATGCTAAATATATTTAAAAAACTGTGTGCTTTATCACAATTACTCCAAGCGGTACTCTAAAGTCATCGTGAACCATCGATCTCCACATCAGAATGGCAGCAAGCGGGGGAAACTTCTCTTGGGCAGGCAACAGCAAAAGAGTTACAGCCGATGCAGTTGGGGTCACCTTACCCCACCCCCTTTCCAACCTCAATCTTCTAGATCCCTCAGCTCTATCTCAGCTCGACGATGATGTTCTTACGCAGGAGATCAAGAGGCAAAAACTGCTAGCTAAGGAGGCTGCAAGCAAGAAAGGAGCTGTCAACACCTTGCACGGTGTTCAGGAAGCTTCTCAGGCAGCGCCTCCAGTCCGTCGGGGAGGCCGGCAGAGCAAACGTGGCGGAGCAGGGCGCGGTCGTGCTAACTCTTCGAATGGCAAAACTCCCGCTGGCGCGACCTCCGCTGCCCTTGATTCCATCGGCGAACCCTTCTCTGCCCATACTAGAGTCGCGCTCTCGCCTACACTGGCTCTCGCATCTGAGGATCTCAATAACGCCGCTGGTGGCGTTGCCTGCAGTGCACCTGAAGCCGCTCCTCTCGCTGGGGGCGTAGGCTGCAGTGCACGTGAGGCTTCTCCTCTCGCTGGCGGCGTCGGCTGCAGTGCACGTGAGGCCGCTCCTCTCGCTGGCGGCGGAGGCTGCAGTGCTCGTGAGGCCACTCCTCTCGCTGGCGGCGTAGGCTGGAGTGCTCGTGAGGCCGCTCCTCTCGCTGGCGGCATAGTCTGCAGTGCACCTGAGGCCGCTACCCGAGCTCTCCCTGCACCCGCCTCTGCTGCCGGGGTGTACGCTCCGGGTCCGATGATGTCAGCAGTCATGGAGGCCGCTGAGGAGGGAGGCGCGATTCCGTTCGGCGATTTCGGCATTGAGGCTTGTAGCGATGACGATGAACTCAACGACGACGATGCGGATGATGCTGTCGGTGCTCAAGCGGGAACTGATTCAGAGTTGCACGAAGCGGAGGTTCGCGTAGCGGAGTTGTGCGCATCGGAGATGCGTGCAGCAGAGCTTCGCGCCGCGGAGCTTGGCGCATCGGAGGTGTGCGCAGCAGAGGCGCGGGCAGCGGAGTTGCGCTCAGCGGAGTTGCGCGCAGCGGAGGTTCGCCAGACGGATAAGGCGACACCCACGTCGCATCAGAATGAAACGGCAGCACCCGCAAGGCGTGAACGGTCGCAAGGTAACGATGCACTTTACCCCTGGTCATTTCCTGAATACGTTGTGAATCTCTTCGAACCTCTCTCCCCCCCGCCCGCACTCGGCCCTTCCCTCCCTTTGTGTTATCTTCAAGAGCATTCCGTATAGCTGTTTGCATGCTTAACTTGTTCACTGCCCCTATACCATTGGTTAAGAGTCTCCCTAATTATAACTCCATGTTGTCAATACGTGTGTCGGTGCGTGTTATCCCCCGTGCGTGTCTTTTAGTTGCTGGTGCGCACCATTTCAGGGAAGCACGACAACTGGAGGCGCAACTACGTGACCTGCAGAACACGGTGTTTGTGCTTTAAGCTCAGCTGCAAGAGGCAAGGACCAAGATCAAGACGGCGGAGGCTGAACGTGGCCGTCTGAAAGTGCAGCTGGAGTCGATGCAGCGACAGATTTTTGCGGAAGTCGCTGGAAAGAGCACGGACGTGGATGCGGTTCGGGACCCTTCTGACCCACATGTCCGAATAGAGAACGTCCGTAAGGACGGTGCCTTAAACCCGATCATTCCGTCATCGCTCAGCAACGATGATGTGTTCGATGTGAGTATAATAACTCTCGATGTGATTTTAGTGGAATGTATTTTATACCGTGCACTGTCGTAGCCGCTCTTGTTTCTTGAATCCCGCCCCCTACCTTCCCCCCTGATTCCCGCCCTCGTCCCCTCTCCCTCTAGCCTCTGTTCTATTCAAAGTACATTCCATGATCACGTGTAAAGCATGTCTGGTGCCTCAATGTAACCCCCCTTCCGTCTGCTTTTTTGAGTTGATTGTCAAGAAATGGTGGGTAAAACCTTCGCCTCGCTCATCACTCTTGCCCCTGCAGAAGACATGGAGTTCTATCCACTGTGGGAAGAGTTCCAGCTGCATTTGGTGCGCAAGTACATAGCTGAGGGGACCACACAAGATGAGTACTACCTCTTCATGGGCGGGAACAACAAGCGCATTGAACGGGCGCTGAAGGTGATTGGCTGCAAACGTGCGAACATGAACAAGCCGATCAAGCTCTGGGCGTGGGGTGCTGGTGGCGTCATTGACAAGGAAAAGTGGTTCCTCTTGAAGGTTGGTGGCATCATTCCAACACAGGCGCGTGATGAGAAGGAGTGGGTCGAGAAGTTTAAACATCGTGAGTATTCTGTTCGGTTGAAACCTTCACACATTGTTGGTATGCTATAGCTCCCATATCTGATTGCCATTGTTTTACCTCTACAGCAAAGTATGGCTACGACTGGCACTGTTCTGCTCAGGGCCGACCTTTTGCGAATGCGGGCTTTGAGCTGGCAGTCAAGAAGGCATTCGTCAGTGCCCGGTGCAACATGTTTGTAGTTAAGATTCCTGCAGTCGGCTATCTGTGCAACGTGGTAAGAAGTCGCTTGTGATCTTATCTATATTGTTAATCCCTGGCAGCATTGTTTTTAACGAATAATGAGTTCATTGGTGGCAGGTCGAATGGCCATTGGAGAATCACAAGGGCAAGAAGGGCTATGCATCACTTGACAACAACGAGACCAACAACCGCAACAATGTGCATGCCAAGACGAGGGTGGTTGCGGCATGGCTGAAGGAAACCCTTGACACGGAGCCTGCCACATTCAAGTTCGATGAGCCCATGGGGTTTGAGATGGGTGTTGGGAAGGTTAGGATTTTGATTCAGGGCTATGAGCTGTTTTTCTTCCCCTCTGGGGTCGTTCCAACCCCCTGGCCTCCTGTTAACAATCTGTGATTAGTGAAGTTGTCAATGATATTATGCAGCTTTTACATAATGTAAGGTAGCTCTTCTAATTTTGCCAATTTTAATCAGCTAGAAATTTATTGCTCTAAATATTGTTTGTGTGTTTTGTAGCAATGATTTAAAATGTATTGATAATTGCCGCATACAAGCACATCATTTCACACGTCCAAACCGTGATTATATCGATGCGCGCTTTTTACGTATTAATATAATTACTTTGTACAGGGCGGAACATTTAATTTATATAGTTACAATTTGACATTTGTTACTCAGGTAACCATATCGTACACTGTTCCCAACTGTTCGTCGCAATGGTGTGTACCACCATTCCCCGACACAATCGAAGCTGTTCCTACAGTCCACGTGGCCAACCGAACATCACACATTGAGCTGATGTGGTTGACGACCCTGTCGTAAAACGACCGCAACCTGCAGAATCCAAGCGTGGTTGCTGCGTGAACCACCGCCTGACTGTACCTACCTTCTCACCGAAATGTGATTGTCAACCACCGTTGACGGAACCACCAGTTTTGGGTAGATGACTACCTCGTTAACTAGGCACTGGGTACACGACCATCAACTCCCACGCTGCTTCACCTCCTCGACTGTCAACCGCCCCAAACTGGGCGGACATTTTTCCGATGTCATCGCCTCTCACTTCCACTCATCGCCTCTCACTTCCACTCATCGCCTCTCACTTCCACTCATCGCCTCTCCTTCCACACCTCTCGTCACACGCCACGCCACGACTGAGCCCTCGGAGGCTCATCGCCGCCTCTCATCCGCGCATCACCTCTGGCAGCACTGCTGCCGCTGGTCCTTCCAGCCCGTCTCGCCCCACCTGTTGATTGCCATGGGTTCGCATTCCCACAGCACGGCTGTGCGGAGCCTCGTGCTCGCTGCACTGGCTGCTCTCATGCTCTCAGGTACGCCCTCATGTTCTCGAATCTGCTTTCAGCCTCTCCCTCCTCCTCCTGTTCCCCCTTCCCCCTTCTGCCCTCTTCCCCACATTCCCGCTTCCCCATTCACCCCTTCCCCTTAAGCCTCCTTCCCTTCTCATCCCATTCTCGTTCTTCCCCTTTCCCCCCTCTCTCCCCCGCCCCCCCCCCCCCCCCCCACCCCCCCGCTTTCCCCCGCCCCTCTCCCCCATGTGCGCTCAGCCTGTGCGCCCAGGGCTGCCGCCATTCGCCATTTGCACGGCCTGCTGCCAGCCGCTTCAAGCACCGCCGCTGACCGTAAGTCACCCGCCCGCCTCACATCACATCACTGCCACCGCCTCAAACGCACCCTTGCCCGCCTACGTGCCCTCAATCCCTCAAAGGGTGCGACGGACTCACCGCTCTTGGCCCTCCTCCCATTCACCGCTCATTGCTCACCTCTCACCGCTCCTCGCGCCGTTCCTTTTGATTCACCGTGCCCATCCATGCTCCATTCTCTCCGCCTTACTCCACTCTTGTCTTGAACCATCCTAGGTTGTCATACGGATCCCTCACATGTCACGTCACGTCACGTCACGTCTCGTTGCTCCACGTGTGCATGCTCCATCTCACCTAACTTTTCATCTCCTGTTTTCGTCCTCATCCCACTATTTCCTCTCTGCCCCTGCCCTCCTGGCTCCTCCCTTTCTCTCATGTCGCTGTGATCTCCATCCGCCAGACTCGTGTGTGCGGTGGGGCTGCGGCGCCAATGCGGTGTGCGTGAAGGACAGGGGCGTCGCCAGCTGCGTCTGCAATGTTGGATTCGCCATGACCCCCACCGGCTGTGCTGGTGAGTCACTACTGATGCTGGCTAGTGCCGCTGTGGTGAGTGCTGCTGCTGGCCAGTGCTGCTCATCACTACAGCCCTCTTAGAGCGTCATAATTTCAGACTGAGGCTTGTCAGTGATTCCCTTCATCTATTGTTAATCTCCACTCAAATTGCTCCACTCTGCCTCCCCTCCCCCCAGACAACTGCGCACTCAAGGCGTGTGGCGTGAACGGCAAGTGCATCAAGGACAGTGCTGGAGTGGCGTCCTGTATGTGCAACACTAGCTTCGTGCTGCAGGCTGACAAGACTACATGTGCTGGTGCGTATGTTATGTGCTGACGTGTGATTACGAGAAGCCACGCAATGGTTGATTTGGACGTGCTGAGCTGATGTGTGATTACATAGCGTAAAAGGCTTCCTGCTTCCTTCCTTCACGCACATGTCACTTGCCCTCCCCACTCACTGTGCCTTCCACCCTTCTCTTAGCAGACACGTGTGCTCTCAAGAAATGTGGGGCTAATGCTAAGTGTGTGAAGAGCGCAGCTGGAGTGGCGTCCTGTGTGTGTGACACTGGCTTCGCGTTGCAGGCTGATGGCGTCACATGCACCGGTCAGATGCCATGTACCATGCCTTGGGAATGCCATAACCATACCATGTGCCATGCCTTTCGCGCTGGTACATTTAGACTGCTTTTGCCTATCAAGTGAGTGCTGCTGTGGATCATGCGCCTCTCTCTTAGTCGTGTCCCTCTCGCCCCACACGTTCCCCCTGCCTGCTCTCCACTCGCCCAGATACATGCGCGCTCAAGAAGTGTGGCGTCAACGGCAAGTGCGTCAAGAACGCTGCCGGAGTGGCGTCTTGCGTTTGCGACGTTGGCTTTGCTCTACAGACTGACGCCTCCACATGCACTGGTGCGTGCTCAATCCCGCATGCACTGGTGCGTGCTCAATCCCGCATGCACTGGTGCGTGCTCAATCTTGCATGCACTGGTGCGTGCTCAATCCCGCATGCACTGGTGCGTGCTCAATCCCGCATGCACTGGTGCGTGCTCAATCCCGCATGCACTGGTGCGTGCTCAATCCCGCATGCACTGATGCGTGCTCAATCCTGCATGCACTGGTGCATATGTTGTCCGCAAAAATCTTTCAAGGGGGTGTCGTGCTGTGCTGTGCTGTCACCGGCGTAAGGGTGTGTGCGTTGAACCATTCTCTATGCTCTTCTTGCATTCCCCCACATGGCACATGGCACATGGTACATGGCACATGGCACATGGTACATGGCACATGGTAAATGGCACATGGCACATGGTACATGGCACATGGCACATGGTACATGGCACATGGCACATGGTACATGGCACATGGCACATGGTACATGGCACATGGCACATGGTACATGGCACATGGCACATGGTACATGGTGGATGCCTACAAGGCATCATGTTCTTTCGTGCCATACTCTTCTAATCGCTTCTCTCAATGCCTCCTTTCAGATACGTGCGTCATCAAGAACTGTGGTGCCGGTACTACTTGAGTGAAGGACGCTCAAGGCGTGGCATCCTGTGTTGGTACGAATCATCTTTCCCTTTAGCCGTGCAATAATTCTCGGTTTGCTCCCACTAGCGTTGAATTCACAGTCAATCACTCTCTCTCTCCCTCCTCCCCTCTTCCCTTCCTTCATTCCCTTCCCCATTCCGTTGGTACTTAGTTTCAGTCTTCTGTCAAACGTACCTTTTTATCCCACCTTGCTTTGCCTCTTTCAGCTCAACCCTCTCCATCTCGTGTGTGATTGTGTGTGTGTGGGTGTGCGCGCGCGCGCGCACACGCTCATGTGTGAGTGTATGTCTGCGTGTGTGTGTGTGTGTGTGTGTGTGTGTGAGTGTGCGTGCGTGTGCGTGTGTGTGTGTGTGTTCATGTTTGATTGCTCTCATTGTTCTCAAAGACCTATTATGACATCTCCTTTCTCCTTCAATCTGGTCCGTCCCCTTGTGTCAAATGTGTGCATCATCAAGAACTGCCAGGGCTCTGATGCCAATTCCACTTGTGTGAAGAATGGCAACCTTGCGACCTGTGTGTGCAAGACTGGATACGCCATGGCAGCAACCGCCAAATGCATTGGTGCATTCGCTAGCTGCGTTGTGCCCTTGTAGCATGCACTTCTTTTGTGACTGTTTGTGTGACTTGACTCTGTGCGTGTGACAAAGTCCGCGTGTGCGTTTCTTTCTTTCCTTTTCTCATCGCTCTCTCAAGCTACATCTTGGTGACTTCTCTCCACCTTTGCTCTCCTCTCTCCTCCACCCGTCCCCCACACTGACACTTGCGAGATCCAGAACTGTGGTGTGAACGGCAAGTGCAACAAGGACACCATTTTTGGAGTGGCGTCTTGTGTGTGTGACACTGGCTTTGTGCTGCAGACGGATGGGAGGATGTGCAAAGGTTTGTGAAGTAACTGCTCTGTGCTACTCCATGTGCGCTTTTCTGTGTATGTGCTCCTGTGCTGAGGAGCTTCTATGTGCTGCTGTGCTGAATCCACGGCAAGTTGATTTATTCCAATGCTCACATGGTTCTCAAAGACATATTATGACATCTCACTTCTCTTTCAATCCGGGCCGTCCCCTTGTGTCAGATGTGTGCGTCATCAAGAACTGCCAAGGCTCTGATGCCAATTCCACTTGTGTGAAGAATGGCAACCTTGCGACCTGCGTGTGCAAGACTAGATACACCTTGGCAGCAACGGGCACTGGTGCATTCGCCAGCTGCGTTGTGCCCTTGTAGTGTGCACTTCATTCTGTGACTGTGTGTGTGTGTGTGTGTGTGTGTGTGTGTGTGCTGTTTTTTTTTTCTTTTTATTTTTCTGATAGATCTCTCAAGTTACCTCTTGGTGACTTCTCTCCACCTTTGCTCTCCTCTCTCCTCCACCCCTCCCCCACACAGACACCTGCGAGATTCAGAACTGTGGTGTGAACGGCCGGTGCAACAAGGACACCATTACTGGAGTGGCATCTTGTGAATGTAGCACTGGCTACGTGTTGCAGGACGATGGCAGGACGTGCAAAGGTATGTGATGAAATTGCTCTATACTACTCCATGTGATTCTGTGCGCTATTCTGTATGCTGCTGTGATTTCTCCTACTTACATGTCCCCTCCACCCCTCTTCCCTGCTTTCTGCCTCTCCCCCCATGCAGGTGTCTGTGAGATCCAGATTTGTGGCGCGAACGGCAGATGCTCTCCCGGTGACAAGATGGCTACCTGTGTGTGTTACATTGGCTACGTGCTGCAGGAGGATGGCAGGACGAGCTGGAAGGGCGAGGCGGTGAAGGCCGCCATGGAAGAGGAGATCCGCAGCCTCATCGGCATGGGTACTTCGGAGCTGGTCGAACGCCCACGCGAAATGAGCATCATGAAGAACCGGTGGGTGCTGACAGCCAAGTACCGCATCGAAGACACTGTCGAGCGCGAGAAGGCGAGGCTGGGTCGTGAAGGGCTTCACATAGGTGTACAGCACCGACTACGACGAGACGTACTCGCCGGTGAGCAGCTACGTCATGCTGAGGATCTTCCTCAGCATCGTCGCCGTCCTCGACCTCAACCTGATGTAGCTCGACATGAAGAATGCTTTCCTGTAGAGCAAGCTCGACGTGGTGCTCTACATGTACCAGCCGGACTACTTCGACGATGGGACCGGCCGGGTGTGTAAGCTACTGAAGAGCCTCTACGGGCTGAAGTAGTCGCCGCTGATATGGTACAGAGCTCTCGACGGAGTGCTACTGGGGGCTGGCTGGAAGAAGAGCTAGGTCGACGAGGCGCTCTAATTCAAGTCCAGCAACGACGGAGTGACCTGCTGGATGCTGGTCTACGTTGACGACCTGCTCGCCGCCAGCAGCAGCACCGCGATGCTGAAGGAGCTGAAGGAGATCCTGGAGGCCACCTTCGAGCTGCGCGAGATCTCGCCGATGGTGAAGTCTCTTGGGCTGGAGATCGTGCGCGACAGGCCGGCCAGGAAGCTATGGCTGCACCAATAGAACCACGCCGACAAGCTTCATAGGCGCTTCATCGACGAGGAGCAGGGCGGTCGAGTCCCGAAGACGCTGGTCTTGGTCGACGCCTACGCTGAGTTGACGTTCGACGACGAGGAGGCCCACGAGCGCGAGGAGGAGGAATACTGGCAGAAGGTTGGCTTACTACAGCTCGCGGCAATGACAACGAGGCCGGACGTCGCGTACGCCTGTAGCAAGCTGGGGAGCAGCCTCACGGTGAGGAGCGACCAGCAATGGCACGAGATTGACCGTTGCCTCGCCTACCTTGCAGACACCCGCGACACCGCCCTGGAGTTTGGCGGTGGACCAGGGTCGCTAGTGTTGATCGGCTACGTGGGCGCCGACGACGCGGGCGACAAGCAGAACCGGACGAGCACGGGCGGCTACGTGTTCGTCTACGGAGGGGCCGCTGTCTTCTGGTCGAGCTCGCGCATCAAGTGCACGACAATGTCATTGACCGAGTCGGAGTACGTGGCGTTCACGGATGCAGGCAAGGAGGGACGCCGACTCCGCTTCCTTCTTGCGGAATTCAAGCTGCTCGACGCTGGGAAGCCGACCATCCTCCGTGTCGACAACAAGTCGGCAATTACGGTCGCTGAGGGCTTGGGGTTCACGGGCAACCTCAAGCACATGGAGCGATGCTATGCCTGGCTGCAGCACATTGTGAGGCGTGGGAAGTTTGTGCTGAAGTACATCCCGACCACTGAGCAGCCGACAGAATTCCTGACAAAGGCTCTGCATTTTCCGGCTTTCAACCGGTGCTCTGTTGCCATCGGTCCAGTTTTCCTGGCCGACGTTGGCAATGGCGACAATGATGTGCAGCAGTAGGTGCCGTGCCCTTTTGCACGGTTGGTGTGGTGACGGCGTGCTGTCTGAGGGGTGCACGTCGAGGACGTGAAGTACTGCCGTGTGGGCTGGAGGCCCAAGCGTGAGCGCGGCAAGGGAGTGTTAATGGGAGTGGAGTGCTGGCCCCGCCCTCGCTTGGGCAATGCCGACGACTTGGTTGGATGTATAGGAGAAGCAGCCGATCGTTCGCAGTGAGGGAGCTGCTCGACAAGCTTTGTCGAGCTGCAGGGTGTCACTGTGGGGTTTCCGTCGACCAGGGGTGCTCGACGGGCGCAGCTGACTGGGCTGGGCGTCGGGTGGGCCGTCAACCAGGAGTTCCAGTTCGACGGGGAGGTCGGCGAAGCGGTCCGTCGACCTGACATGTGAGCATCGATCGACGAGGGGTGCTCGGTGACATCAGCAGAGGGTCCTGGTCAACGGAAGGGGTCCATTGACCATGGGGCAGCTCGACAGGAGCTGTGGTCCATGAGAGGCACCTGGTGGATAACCAAAGGCACCTGGTGGTCGACCGGAGACACCTGTGGTTGACCAAAGCTCGTGGTGCTCGACCGGAGACACCTGGTAGTCGACCAGAGCTCATGGTGGTCGACCGGAGACACCTGGTGGTCGACCAGAGCTCCTGTGATCGACCGGAGCCCTGGTGGTCGACTAGAGGCGCCTGATGGTCGACTAGAAGCTCTGGGTGGTCGACCAAAGTGGCTGGTGGTGTCCAGGTCGACCAGGTAACCTGCTTGGCGAGTTCTGCGGAGGCACGTGAACGTCGTCAAGGTCATGATGACGAAGGCGACTTCGAGCTGGTATCCCGAAGTCAATGTGGTTCGTCAGGCGCAGACAAAAGCCGACGGATGCACAGCAATGAAAGTCGGGCCATTCGTCTGCGCGCACCTGCGAGTGTGCGCACTACTGTCTTCTACGGGGCAGCGCTGGACAGCCGTTCTACTGCAGCGTTGGCTCGCCGTCGACCTGCAGTGTTGGCAAGTCGCCCTTCTACAGTGCTGGTGCGGCTCCTCTACTCAACGCTGGCAGGCGGTCGACCATGCAGTGCTGGCGGTCGACCAGGCTAGCTGCAGAGTTGCTAGGTGCGTGATGTAGTCATTCTGTTGTTGCTTGTTCTATAATTCTGTAATTCCAACTTTGCTAAGTGGAAACTCTTGCCAATTTCTCCCGTGAATGTGCAAGTGCTAAGGAACTAAGCAAACCTACGATCACTTCTAGTAGTTCGTGCCAACCCCCGTAGTCTAGCTCACTACCGTTGTAGAGTGAATCTCCTCACCCTCGGCTACCCGTGCGTTGTCCGCAGCCA